TGGCAAGGCAAATAAGCCAGCGAAATGCATGGTATGGGCCTGGCAATTAGCGGGCCCCCTGTGTCTGCTGGCAAGGGCGTTAGCTATAGACAACTGTGTTCTTGCTATTCAAATTGGGCCCACTATTTCAGTTTTGAACAAATAAATCCCATGGGCCTAACAGGAAAAAATAAATTAAAAAAAATTTGGGCTATTTGGTTTAAAAAAAAAAAATTGTTCAAAAAAATTGTAACTATGCTGTCATTTTCTTTTTTCTTTTTTTGGTTTTTTCCATCACTGTTTTTTTTTTTTTTTTTTTTTTATATATATATTTTATTGTAAAAAAATATATTTTTGATTTGGATTCTTTTATTTTTGATTTTTATTTTTTTAAAATAATATGTATGATTTTTATTTCTTTAAAACTTGTCAACAAATATATGAGAAACAAAAATAAAAATATCCCATTCAAATATAAAAATGTTTTCAAATATGCAAACAAACAAAAATAAATATGTTTTAAAAATTTTCATCTCAAAATATTAAATATATATAAAAAAAATTAATAAAATAATAAATAGTTTTTAAATATACAGTAACCATCGACTAGCAAAATACTATAGCTGGCCACGTCAGCACAATACTAGCAATCTACATAGACATTGCTAGCCCGTATAGCAATATAGCGGATGCCCTTAAGGGCCTGCCAAAACTTAATTTTCATATTTTTTGATCTCTTTGTTTTTTTGTTTTTTTGTTTTTTTTTTTTTTTTACAAAAGCCTAAAAAATAAGTTTTTTAACTTTCTTTTTTCCCCTTAATTAAACCTATCAAAGTAGTCGTTAAGGCACTGTTTGACTAATAAAAATGGTGCTAACGGTTATATTTTTTGGAAAAAAAGGTTAATATATATATATAGCCGTTGGAAAAAAAAAAAAAAAATTTAGAAAACGATAATTTAGAGAGGCTGCTGCAGTGCCAAAATATGGACAGTAGAAACTGCTTACGTAATTTTTAAAAAAGCTGATGTGACTAATTTAGAGAACAAAATTTTGAAAAAATTGCTTAGATGGCCATAAAAGGACAAATTTATCAATAAATATATATATATATATATATATATATATATATTAAATATTTTATAAAAATAAAAAATATACCACTAATAAATACATTAATTATAAATTTGAAGACCAATGAAAGAGCTACTCTAAATGGACAGTGGCCTCCACCCTAGCACTGATGCATTTGATGGAAGTACAAAAAGCTGCGGGATTCAATGTCAATTCTTAGTAACTTGGTGCATATTGCCCGAATCGAGACACTTTGGTCAACTCTTCTTCATACTTTGTGTTGTTCATTCATGGCAGTGTAATCTGAAAAAGGAAGTAACAGATACTGTGTTCAAAGAAGAGAAAAAGGACGACTAGTTAATACAGAATATTTGACTTATTTTTTAGGTAATTGAGGATTATGCTATTGTAATATTTTTCAATGTCATATTCTACTCGAAAAATTATTACAATTAAATGGAGGGATGATGAGCTTTGGCGACTTAGGTCTAAGGGCAGCTCCAACGCGGGTCTTTTAAGGCGATTGTGGGCCAGTTTTGCTATTGAACTCCTCCAACGGCTTCTCCAAAAATTGGGCCTCACCCAATGGATTGCAAAAAAGTGCAACCCTCTGGGCGAGCTGCGGGCCTACTATACAGACCTGCATCAATTTTGTTTTAATTTTTTTTATTTTGGCCAGAATAGTATTTTAGCTCAGAACACTGTTCCTAAGGCTCTGTTTGCTTGAAAAAAAGGAAAAAAAAATAGACTTCTGGCCTTCTTTTTTTTTTTTTTTCAAAATAATTGAATCAAAGAGCCGTTAAGGCATTCTTTGGCTAATACAAACAGTTCCTTAAAGGTTTTTTTGAACAAAAAAAAGTTTCAAAAAAAATAGAGAAAAGTGTTTTTTTTTTTGAAAAATTTACTTTTTAAAATATTCCTTCTGACATGTAGCCATTTTAGGCACTGTTTGGCTAACCCAAACAGTGCCTCAACGGCTATATTGGCACAAAAACCTATTTTTTGAATTTGTTTTTTTAAAAATAATTATATATATGTACCTTTATTTATTTAAGAAAAACCTTTCATTTTTTCTCTATAAATATATCAACCCCTATTATTATTCACCTTATATCCAACCCATCTTATCTAATCTTCAATCTACAATTACAATTACAACAATTAAGTCATTTTCTCAATATTTTAGTTATATTTTTTACTCAAGTTCAATTTCATGGATCCTCCACCACCATATTACAACTACAACTCCCAATTCAACCAATCAAATGATAATTTTGATCCCTTCTTATTTGTTGGAGAAGTATCTCAATTTGTTGGAGAAGAATCTCAATTTCTGTCTCATCAATCTTTTTAAGTTTCCAACATTCCTACTGAAGCGTCACAATCCAGTAACTCCTAACCTCACAGAAAGAAAGGGCTATTTAGCCTCCAAATTGGTCCACAGTTGAAGATGAGGCTTTATGTTATGTGTGGATGACCATTAGCACTGATGCAGTCATCGGTTCAGACCAACAAAAGGCAGCGTTGTGGATCCGAATTCAAGAAAGTTTTGAGCAACACGTTAGTGGTGCTGGTACACCTAAAGGAAATTATATCGCCTGCTTGAATCGTTGGTCTTTTATGTAAGAAATGATTACCAAATTTTCTTCATACATGGCCCAGATCGAAAGGAATTACCCCAGTGGGCAAGACAATGAGTACAAGATGAGTTATTTATTATATTAAATTTAATTGGTAGATATTTTAAAGATTTGTCTTCTTATAATTATTAATTTTTATTTTTTTAGATGATAGCAGCCAAAGGATCGTTCGTTTGTCAAAATAACTCCAAATTTAAGTTTGATAGGTGTTGGAACATTTTGAAGAGTAACAATAAATGGCATTTACATTGTAAAAAAGAATTGACATCAAAAAAAAAAAACAACAACCGAAGAAGAGCAGTGGAATCCACATTGATGATAGTGAGCCTATTGGTCGCTCAAACCCATCTACTCCGTCAAGTAATGCAATAACGACACCAAGTTCGGTTGAAGGATCGGCACATCTAGGCAAATATGATCCGACGGATGTTGAAGAATGTCAGCGACCAAAAGGATGAAAAACAGCGAAGTAGGGGCGAAATAAGGATAAAAGACAATCTGAAAGTCATAATGATTTCATTAGCAAATTCGATCATGCAACATCACTTTATCAAAACAATTTGAAACTCTTGAAGCCGCTAAAATAGCACGAGAGGCACGCAAAGTAGATAAAGAAAAGACCAGACAACTAGAGCTTCAAAGCAAACTAAAACAGATTGAAAACAAACAAAGAGCTGAATTGATGTAAATCATGCAAAAAGATCCAGAATTGATGCCAACACAAGCCGGGAAAGTATGGCTAATTGAACGCCAAAATGAAATATTAGCATCTATACGCGTACACGGTAACTCAAGCTTTCCATAGGATTATTTCAAGCATTCCATATGATTATTCTGTTTTTCCTAGTTGTTATGTTTTTAATTCATGTCGTATTGTATTGTTTTTTATTTTTATTGTATTGTTTAAATTTGTATTATTTAAATTTATGTCGTATCATATTGTTTTTAATAATAAATATAGTATTGTTTAAATTTTTTGTATGATATAGCTGTTTTAAAAATATATCCGTTAGGAAAAATTTTAAAAAATAAAATTTATTAAAAATTTAAAATATATTAAAATATTAATATTTTTGGAGAGCGAAAATGCACAATTGGAGTACATCCTATAGCTAAAATTTAGAGACTCTAAAACACTGACGTGGCTTTGGGAAATACTGACGTGGGTATTGAAAAATGCTGATGTGGCAAATTCGGAGAGCCTAAATTCGGAGAGCCCATCGGAGATGCTCTAAGGGACCAACCAACAGAAAGTTTTAGAATTTTTTTATTTCTTTATACATTTTCGGCATTTTTATTTTCTTATTTTGTTAGACCTCAACCAATAGGAGAAGCCCAATTTTTTTTTTTTTTTTCTTATATTAATATTCTCCAACAAATAGCATAAGGCCCCAATTTTTTTTTTTCCTTACATTATTACCACTATTAATTTTTATTTCCTTATCATTCAGAAATCTTTTTATAGATATCTATATTAATATATTAAATAAAAATAAATAATAAAAATAGAAGTAATACAAAGGATAAGATTGTCAGTCAAAAAAGGAAAAAGGGTTAATATTCATTACCTCCAAACCAATATTAAATATTTAACAGTGGGATTAAATAATTAACTTCTATTTTCTATTCTCATCTAACTTTTTTTTTTTTTCACTCCACCCCATCATTCTAATTTTTTATTTTTATTTTTTTTTACCTCAATCCTTGTGTATTAATTAATATATATTTATTGAACTGGTTATATTATATATTAAAAAAATAAAAATAAAAAACATTACAAAAATTGAACATAAGAATCTAATTCATAACTTTGCATCTCAATAAACAAGAAAGATTATTTTTAAATAAACATAATTAATTATTATTCATTAATATATGGCTATTTTTATAATTTTTGCCTAAAATTTCAAATTATATAGAGCAGACATGATTAAATGAATTGGACTTTTAAATTATATTTCACAAATATTAGAAAAATTACAGAAAAAAGAGTCTGAATGTCTCTTGAATGCATTTAAAGAAATGTTGTTCCGCATTTAAAAAAAAGTCTAGTTCCTCTTTCTTTTGGTCGTCCATGCAAGGAAAATGGATAACATAACATGACAAGACATTAATATATATATATATATATATATATATATATATATTCTTTACACTTTTCCATGCAACAATGTTGCGTGTTTGTATTGTCATGCACTGTAACTTTGTCAGAGGGAATTAATTTGGTGCGCTCTTAAATTTCAGTTTTCTCTGAGGGCTTTTTTGAGTAGCTGTAGAGGAAGTGGTAAGAGAAGCTTGCACGATCAAAGATGGAGCCAACAAAGAGTTGCCATGAATTCTTCAAGGTCTTCCTGCCAGCCAACAGTTCACAGAGATTGGTACATATATATATATATATATATATATATATATATATATATCACAACTCTATATATCTCAGATTAATTATCTTTTCTATGTTTTGGGTTAGCGTTAATTAATTTGCTTAATTAAATTATGTTCTACTATTTGTTGCTTTCTTTAAAGATATGTGCATGAGTTGGTTGATTATGTGCTAAATAGGTCCGAGTTGTGAAAAAGATTTGGGTTTTTAGAATTTCACAAAAAGGGTATTATTTTTAGCTTACGATCAGCATATTTGACACTTTGATGAGGCATCAATGAGAGGATCATACATTTTATGTGGAAGTTATAAAGCTAGCTAATCAGGGTATACTCAATTTTTAAAATTTTTTTTTTTTTAGCAGAGGTAGTCTCAATTCAGGTAGGAAGATTTTAAATGTGGGTGTATTTTTTAGCCCAAAAGAAAAATAGACTATTTAATTTATGATATATATATATGCCAGAATATTTCAATTTCTTGCTTGAGTTTTGTGTGGAATTATTGCTTTTGACAATTTAGTTTTGCATTGTAATTGAGATAAAATAGTGTCTATATTAAAAAATTACTAAGTATTGCATAATACCAATAATGTAATATCCCCGGTCTAATAAACAATCATCACTTGTCCTGTTAACTCGAAAAAATCACACATAATTGAATGTGGTACTAAATTGTCGTTACTCGGGTACCACATATACACACACACACACATACATTTTGTGCCAAGTGAGGTGATCTTTTTTGGACATATTGTTAGGATGAAATATTGAATATCCATACACAGACCAATGCAAATGAAAAAAAAATATAATGTCTAGATGTATATGTTAAAATTTGTCTTCATTTGAATTTAAAAATTGACAGTATATGTGTATTTTGTTTGTAGCTCATTCCATTGGGTTTCACAGCCAATCTGAAAGAAATGATTCCAAACAAGGTATTACTGAGAAATTGTGATGGGAAATTTTGGCCGGTAGAGGTGAAAAAAATTGGAAATGATCACCTATTCTTTGAAGATGGTTGGGTGAAATTTGTCGAAGATAATTCTATAGAACTTGGAGACTTTTTAGTTTTTCACTACAATGGTAATTGTGTTTTCGATTTTAGTCTATATGGGAGAAATTCGTGTGAGAAAAAAGTGACAAGGGCTTCCCACTCTCGAGTAAAAGAGGAAGAGATGGAGCATAAAGAAGAAGAGGATGAGGAGGAGCAGGAAGAAGAAGAAGAAATAAACGAAGAAGAAGAAGACGATGATGAAGAAGAAGAAGAGAGAATAATTTCCGGAGGCACTAGTTGTGAGTTGTTAATTTCTTTTCTTTCCTCAATGGTAGCTCGTCTTTGTATGTTTTCGTTTATTTCCTTTTTATTGTGTTAATATTTAACCAACCGTGTTTACTTGGTCTAGCTGGGGATAACGGAGATGCTGCTGTCAAAGTTGGAGATGAGCACAGAGGAGCGGCTGTAGTTGAAGGGGAAGACGATTATATTTTTGAAACAGGGCACTACGTCCGACCCAAGAACCCTTATTTTGTGGCAAAAATGAAACAAACTACTAGGAAGAATGACTTGGTAAGGCTTGAATTACCTAGCTGAATTGCACTTATCTTTAAGCATTTTAATGGATTTTTCGTTACATCCTTTCGTAAATTTCAGCTGTTTAATCTATTAATATATTGGCGGAAATAAATTCATGTGTGATTCTTTATTCATCCAACATTTTCTTTGAAAGTCAGCGGAATGAACTACTAAGGCTTTAATTACCTAGCTGCAGTATGCTACATCCTTGCTAAACACCCCTTTGATCCCCCAGATTTCACTCCATCCCTAGATTTTTAGTTCTGACCATTTCTTAAAGAAGTTCCGAAGCCTTCTGTCTCTCCTCTCCACAGTTCTGGTGCTACCAGTTTCTTTCCGGTATCTCATTCCTAGCCCCAAGGATGCCAAAGAAGCATAGTTTTTCCTATATGCCGGAGAGACCATTGTTGCAATGACTTCATTTGCGTCTTAGCAGACACTTTCGAATCACAAAAGAGCATACGGATATCTGTCAAATAGCAGAGGATTAAAGCCAACAAAACCAACCAAAACAGTCACTAACTTTCATTTAGCATTCGTCAAATTTCCAAACATAACAGATTTCTAGCTTTTAACTCCCTCTTTTGCAGACAAGTGTAGAATAATGTGAGCCTATCGTCATGGACTATAAAAGCTTGATTCCAATAGAAGTTCATTGGAATTAAGTTCTCGAACTATAATAGATCAAGCAGAAGAAATTTATGAAAGGATATAATGCAAAATCTATAAAAATGAGCATACTGCAGCTAGGCAATTAAAGCCTTAGTAGTTCATTCCGCTGACTTTCAAAGAAAATGTTCCATAAATAAAGAATCACACAGGAATTTATTTCCACCAATATATTAATAGGTTAAACAGCTGAAACGGGTACATGGTCTTAATTTGGAATCTTTTTGCATTACACCACATTTCTTCCACGATATTTCAATAGCGCGATTCCTGTACCATTAGTTTTCAGAACAGAATGTCCAACGCGGAGTTACAATCAATAGAGACATAACTGGAATTTGTATCTTGTAAAAAAATATTTTGTTTGAATGGGTAAAAATTCTCTAAGTTCTACACTTAATAGTGACACAATTGGAATTTGCATTTTTTATCTTCATGCTGCCTCCACACACTTGATACAAGTCTTGTTGGTGTTGAACCTGTTCCTACTACTTCAACCTTCTCAATCCATTTTTTACTTTGATAGGTGAATCTGACATTTTTTTAGAGGCCTCAAGAAGTGCAGTTCAAGTACCATGCACTTCTTTTTATCAATTCAATGTTCCGACAAGTTCTTGGAATATCTACCAGCTAGTTTCTTTCTGTTTGTGGTACATTTACTGCATGGATTAGGATCTGTTGAGATAGAGGAGAGAGTTGTTCAAATTTTTAGTTGATTTTGCAAAGCAATAAAAGTACATTTACTATCATTCATATATTAAATTCATCATCAGACTTGGTTTTTCTGTTATATGTATAAACATTTTTTTTTTTTTTTTTACCCTTCATGTTTGGGATTTCTAAAAGTACAGCGTCCACCGATTGAGCATGATGCTGATAGGCATGCTACAATATTGCCTGTTTTATTACCGCATTTCATTATTGTTTTACTATTTGTTTTTAATTAGTAAAACAATAAATAGAGAAATTCACTGTATAAATAGAGAAATAAGAAGCCCAAGAAAAGCATCGAATTCTGGGATTGCCCAGCTCCATAAGCTAATTGCCATTTCAATTATACAGTTCCTTCACTCCATTCTTGGGTTTTTGTGTGATTTTCTATTTGTTTTTAATTAAAAAATTTGCCAACATTACTTTGTTCGTCTCGCCAATACTTTGTTCTGCTTCAAGGTTTAGAAGGTACAGAATGTCTTCAGTTTGTATTGCATTGATCAATGGCATGAATTTTTAGCCTCCTAGTATGCTTATCAAAGTATTCCTGCTCTACCATTGCAGTTAGTTCCTGCAGATGTGATCGAAGACCATAATCTGAAATTACCATCAGAGATTGTCATCCGTGACCAAGACAGCAAGACATGGATCTCAAAAGTAGTTGTGTGGAGAGATGGGCGGACATGGATTCGCGGGTGGAAGGCAGTATGCAAATGGCACAATCTAAGGGAGAACGACAGGTGCCTTTGTGAATTCTTGCTAGGAAGAGAGGGAGCTTTCTTACAGATTCAAGTCGTCCCGGCGGGATCGTGGCTGCCAAAATGAGAAAACTAGGCGGCTCTTGGGAATATTAGCAATGTTGAGTTCTTTCTCAATCAGCACTGTTTACTATTATACAGCTCTTCCAACTCTAGAAAACTGAAGAGCATTCATTAGTCTGGGCTTGTAATCTAAAATTAATTGTGATTATAGCATGTGATTGAATTGAGGGAGAGCTAGCCTTGATGGTAAGATTGTTGCTTTACGATATGGAGGTCACGGGTTCGAAATAAGGAAATACCCTCTCCCCGCATTGAGAAAAAAATTAGATTTTAATGATCAAAACTAAACATAATTGTTCTTAAGTGATATTAGTTAGGGATATAGATCCTTACTTCACCCTACGTAAAATTATTTTCATAATTTTTTAATTTTTCTTCTATAAAAGAAAATAGAATTACTATCAATGTGAACGGTAATGTTTTAAACAATTATGATTTTTTTTTGGTGATTTTGAAGGACATTTATATCACTATTCAAGTCCACTCTTGTATAAAAAAAAGTTTAAAAATTAAAAAAAACAGAAAAGAAAAGAAAGGGAGAGAATGGTTTCATTCTTTGCTTCAAATTCATCAAAGATGTATGACAACTTCTAATAGCTGGGCTAGTCCAGGTTAGGTTGGACTAGATTTATAAAACCCACGCCCAATTAATGGAATACACATCAGATGACCCATTCCGGCCATGGACTTCCAAATATAGTATTTAAGAACGAAATTTCTTCTTCTTCTTCTTATTATTATTATTGTTATTATGATCATCGATATCCACAGATATGTCGGATACTACTAAAATGTATCCATAATACTACTAAAATGTATCCATACTTTTAAGATATATATTTTTTTAATTTCTAACACATATTTGTTACTTCTTAAATACTTCGATATATTTTTTGAATACTTTATAACACATTTTTAACATTAAGATGTTAGTTTTTTAACAATAATAACAGTGTGATTGTTAAGATAGTTCAAAATTTATTAAGTTATGACTAAAAATGCTTGTTTTATGTGTTGTGAAACGAATTATTTTGTTATATTAATGAATGAATTTAGATTCATAATATGATAAGAAATTGATTAAAAAATATATTTATTATTATTATTTCAACCCGAAAAACCAAACGAACCAGACTGGACGATTTGGTCCAATTTCATAGTGGTTTGGTTTGGTCACGGGTTCCAAAATAATGAAACTGTGAATTTTCAGTCTGGTCTTGATTTATAATCAAAGGACTGGACCGTTATAATGTATTATATATAATTATGTATGTGTTATTATTAATAATATATATATATATATTTATTTATTTATTATTTTTTTTTACTTGGGCATTTGGTTCAAATTTATTATTTCTTTATTTTATTTTAACTTCTTTTTTTTATTATTATTATTATTTTTATTTGAAAGGTAAAGTAATTTTATATATACAAGAATGTACACAGTATCGGAGATATGCATTAACCTGGGGAGATCCCAATGGATGATAACTGGAGTGGCCTTCATGTCGGTTGGTATTAGCTTGTATCTCACAGATTGAAGGATAAGCTTTAAAGCCCAGTGGACGAAGAAAATGACGATGCGCTGAAAGCCCAATTTTGATAATTAGTTGGTCGAAGTGTAAGATTCGAGATGGAGTGTTTACAAGTCTTTGATTGTTATTTCTGTTTTTAGAATCAAACTAATTTGATCTCAACAGTTTCATAAATGAAACCAAGACAATCTGAGGTGAGGATTAAACCAAATCAATTGCATCCAAATAAAATAAGACTGGATTGGATTGGATCGGATCGAATCGAATTGATTCACTTCACTTATATGTTAACTTTGTTTTTTTAAAAATTCAAATTCTTACCATTCATTTTGGAATCGGAAAATATCACTAAATCACAAGACCTTTGATTGATTTACCTATTAAGTTTTTTTAATGTAAAAAAATTATAAAAATAAATATTACATAGATATGTAAAAACTTACTAATTTACAAATAACAAAAATAAGAGAGAGAGAGAATCATAAATTTTAACAATAGGTAAAATATATATATATATATAGAATTGCTATTACAAGTTGACTGGTCCATTTTTATAGCATTACAGATTGAGTAATGGTATTCGTACTTGTAGTGAATTTGCCTAACTGAATAATGTAGTGATACTTACACCGAATATTTACATTAAATTGTTTAATTGAATAATTTTTAATTAACTATTTATACTAAATATAACTAACTAAATAATTTTTAATTGGTTATTTATACTAAATACAACTAAGTGGAAGGCTCTACTTCCTTATTTATTACATAATTAACTAATTAAAAAAATAAGTCTAGTAATTTACTTTACTTATTCCATCTAAGAATCATTTTCTTTACTATTATTATTATTATTTAAATATGAAGACAAGACTCATTCTTTAAGATGGAACTTTGCAACATTATATATCACCGCATCCATATAATGGGTAACTCTATAAGTTGGGGCGTTGGGCCCATTCCTACGAGGCGGGTCTACTTCTATATTTTCCTCTTAAACCTAAGCAAAGCGAACATACTCCCTCCCTACCCACCCAAAAAAAAAAAAAATGATCACCTTCCATTTTTTAGTTATCCCAATTGAAAAGATAATGTATTATTATTATTATTATTATTATTTTTTGGGTAACATTACCAATTTAACTCGCTTAGAATGAATTTATAAAAAGCAAAACATCACAAAACTGTAGATAAATTCTGTAATTCATTTACTACCAAAACACTAATGTTGAGTTTAATATGTAAGAATGGAATGAGGACGGGAATGAAATGGAATGAAAACTCTCATTTTATTATTTGGTGGTAAATATGAAATGTGTAAGAATATAATAATAATAATCATTTTAATGTTTGATTGGACCATTAGAATGGAATGAATTTCAAATTGAATTATCCAAAATACCTCCTTGACAAATAAATTAAATTAACAAAATAACATTCTTTTATAATATTTTTTCCAATAAAATGATAGAGGTGGTGGACGGCAATGACAATAGTGGTGGAGGTGAAAAACATTAATGGTGTAGATGGTGGTTCTAATTTATTTATTTATTTTTATTTATTTATTTTTTTTCACCTCAATACTTGTGTATTAATTATTGAATATACATTTATTGAACTGGTTATATTATATATTAAAAAAATAAAAATAAAAAACATTACAAAAATTGAATAGAGGAATCTAATTCATAACTTTGCATCTCAATAAGCAAGAAAGATTATTTCTAAATAAACATAATTAATTAGTATTCATTATTATATGGCTATTTTAATAATTTTCGCCTAAAATTTTAAATTATATTGAGCGGACATGATTAAATGAATTGAACTTTTAAATTATGTGCCACAAATACTAAAAAAGTTACAAAAAAAAAAAAGAGTCTGAATGTCACTAGAATGCATTTAAAAAAAATGTTGTTCCGCATTTGAAAAAAAGTCTAGTTCCTTTCTTTCTTTTCGTACTTCCATGTAACGAAAATGGATAACATAACATGACAAGACATTAATATATACAATTACACACACACATATATATATATATATATATATATATATATTCCTTACGCTGAATGCAAGAGTGTTGCGTGTTTGTGTTGTCATGCACTGTAACTTTGTCAGGAGGGGAGTTAATTTGGTGCACTCTTAAATGTCAGTTTCCTCTTAGGGCTTTTTTGAGTAGCTGTAAAGAAAGAAAGTGGTGAGAGAAGCTTGCACGATTAAAGATGGAGCCAATAGAGAGTTGCCCTGAATTCTTCAAGGTCTTCCTGCCAGCCAACAGCTCACATAGATTGGTACATACATACATATATATATATATCACAACTCTATATATCTCAGATTAATTATCTTTTATATGTTTTGGGTTGGCGTTAATTAATTTGCTTAATTAAATTATGTTCTACTTAATTTGTTGCTTTCTTTAAGGATATGTGTATGAGTTGGTTGATTTATGAGCTAAATAGGTCCGAGTTGTGAAAAATATTTGGGTTTTTAGAATTTCACAAAAAGAGTATTATTTTTAGCTTACGATCAGCATATTTGACACTTTGATGAGGCATCAATGAGAGGATCATATATTTTATGTGCAAGTTATAAAGCTAGCTAATGAGGGTATACTCAATTTTATTTTTTATTTTTTAATTTTTTTTAGCAGGGGTAGTCTCAATTCAGGTAGGAAGATCTTAAATGTGGGTGTTTCTTTCTTTTCTTTTTTTTTTTTTCAAAAAGAAAAATAGACCATTTAATATCTGATATATATATGTATATATATATATGAATGCCAGAATATTTCATTTTCTTGCTTGAGTTTTGTGTGGAATTATTACTTTTGACAATTTAGTTTTGCATTGTAAATGAGATAAACTAGTGTCTATATTGAAAAATTACTGGGTACTGCATAATACCAACAATGTAATATTCTCGTTCCAATAAACACTCATCACTTGTTTTGTTAACCCGAAAAAATCACACATCATTAAATGTGGTACTAAATTGTCGTTACTCGGGTACCATACATATATACACATCTACATTTTGTGTGAGGTGATCTTTTTTGGACATATTGTTAGGATGACATATTGAATATCCATATACAGGCCAATGTAAATGAAAAAAATATAAAGTCTAGATGTTTATGTTAAAATTTCTCTTCATTTGAATTTAAAATTGACAGTATATATATATTTTGTTTGTAGCTCATGCCATTGGATTTTACAGCCAACCTGAAAGAACTGATTCCAAATCAGGTATTACTGAGAAATTGTGACGGGAAATTTTGGCCGGTAGAGGTGAAAAAAGTTGGAAATGATCACCTGTTCTTTGAAGATGGTTGGGTGAAATTTGTCGAAGATAATTCTGTAGAACTTGGACGAAGAAGAAGAAGAAATATACGAAGAAGAAGAGAGAATAATTTCCGGAGGCACTAGTCGTGAGTTAATTTCTTTTCTTTCCTCAATGGTAGCTCGTCTTTGTATGTTTTTGTTTATTTCCTATTTATCGTGCTAATATTTAACCAACCGTGTTTACTTGATCTAGCTGGACATAACGGAAATGCTGCTGTCAAAGTTGGAGATGAGCAGAGAGGAACGGCCGTAGTTGAGGGGGAAGATGATTATATTTTTGAAACAGGGCACTACGTCCAACCCAAGAACCCTTGTTTTGTGGCAAAAATGAAACGAACTACTAGGAAGAATGACTTGGTAAGGCTTGAATTGCCTAGCTGAATTGCACTTACCTTTAAGCATTTTAATGGATTTTTCGTTACATCCTTTCATAAATTTCAGCCGTTTAATCTATTAATATATTGGTGGAAACAAATTCATGTGTGATTTTTTGTTTATCTAACATTTTCTTTGAAAGCCAGCGGACACCAAGGCTTTAATTACCTAGCTGCATTATGCTCATTTTTATAGATTTTGCATTATATCCTTCCATAAATTTTTTCTTTTTGATCTATAGTTCGAGAACTTAATTCCAACGAACTTCTCTTGGAATCAAGCTTTTATAGTCCATGACGATAGGCTCACATTATTCTACACTTGTCTGCCAAAGAGGGAGTTAAAAGCTAGAAATCTGTTATGTTTGGAAATTTGACGAATGCTAAATGAAAGTTAGTGACTGTTTTGGTTGGTTTTGTTGGCTTTAATCCTCTCCCATTTGAAAGATATCCGTGTGCTCTTTTATGATTTGAAAGTGTCTGCTATGATGCAAATGAAGTCATTGCAACGTTTGTCTCTCCGTCATATAGGAAAAATCTATGCTTCTTTGGCATCCTTGGGGCTAGAAATGAGAAACCGGAAAGAAACTGATGGCACCAGAACTGCAGAGAGGAGAGACAGGGAAGGCTTCGGAACTTCTTTAATTAAGAGATGGTAAGAACTAAAAATCTAGGGATGGAGTGAAATCTAAGGGATCAAAGGGGTGTTTAGCAAGGATGTACAGAGCATAGACTGTGTGTTAAAGGCTAGAGTTCGGGTTAATCTGGAAGATTGTATTGAAGTTAGGTTTGAAATATTGACAAGTGAGCCTTAATGTCTTCCCCTGATGTTGCACTGATACTAAATCTCTTGAAGAACATCCATCAGCTAAATACTGATAATAAATATCTTGAAGGGTAGTTCAAATACATTAACTGCATGGTTTAAGGTCTGTAGAGAGGAGGAGAGAGTTGTTCAAATTCTTCATTGATTTTGCAGAGCAATAAAATTACATTTACTATCATTCATTTATTAAATTCATCATCAGGCTTTGTTTTTCTTATATATGTATATAAAATTGTCTTTTTCTATTCATGTTTGGGATTTCTAAAAGTACAGCGTCCACCGATTGAGCATAATGCTGATAGGCATGCTACAATATTCATTATTGTTTTACCTGCATTGACCAATGTCTTCAGTTTGTATTACACTGATCAGTGGCATGAATTTTTAGTCTCCTTGTATGCTTATCAAAGTATTCCTTCTCTACTATTGCAGTTAGTTCCTGCAGATGTGATCAAAGACAATAATCTGAAATTACCATCAGAGATTGTCCTCCGTGACCAAGACAGCAAGACATGGACCTCAAAAGTAGTAGTGTGGAGTGACGGGCGGACATGGATCCGCGGGTGGAAGGCAGTATGCAAATGGCACAATTTAAGGGAGAACGACAGGTGCCTTTGTGAATCCTTGCTAGGAAGAGACGGAGCTTTCTTACAGATTCAAGTCGTCCCGATCGTGGCTGCCGAAATGAGAAAACTAGGCGGCTCTTGGGAATATTACCAATATTGAGTTCTTTCTCAATCAGCACTGCTTACTATTATACAGCTCTTCCAACTCTAGAAAACTGAAGAGCATTCATTAGTCTGGGCTTGTAATCCAAAATTAATTGTGATTATAGCATGTGATTGAATTGAGGGAGAGCTAGCCTTGATGGTAAGATTGTTGCTTTACGAAATGGAGGTTATGAGTTCGAAACAAGGAAATACCCTCTCCCCGCATTGAGTAAAAATTAGATTTTAATGACCAAAACTAAACATAGTTGTTCTTAAGTGATATTAGTTAGGGATATAGATCCTCACTTCACCCTACATAAAATTACTTTCATAATTTTTTAATTTTTTTTCTATAAAAGAAAATGGAATTACTATCAATGTGAACGGTGATGTTTTAAACAATTATAATTTTTTTTTTGGTGATTTTGAAGGACATTTATATCACTATTCAAGTCCACTCTAGTATAAAAAAAAGTTTAAAAATAAAAAAAAAAACACAGAAAAGAAAAGAATGGGAGAGAATGGGTTCATTCTTTGCTTCAAATTCATCAAAGATGTATGGCAACTTCTAGCAGCTGGGCTAGTCCAGGTTAGGTTGGACTAGATTTACAAAACCCAAGCCCAATTAATGGAATACACATCAGATGGCCCATTCCTAGCCCATGGACTTCCAGAAATAGTGTCTAAGAAAGAAATTTCTTATTATTATTATTATCGAAATCCACAGTTACGTCGGATACTACTAAAATGTATCCATACTTTTAAGATATATATTTTTAATTTCTAACACATATTCGATACTTCTTAAATATTTTGATATGCTTTTCGAATACTTCCTAATACATTTTTAATATTAAGATGTTAGTTTTTCAATAAACTTTAAACAAGCTTGGGAGGTTTGCAGAAGTAGTAAACCAGAAGTTAATTGGGCATGTATTTGTTGGAGTGGAGGCCGTCCTAGGTGGTCTATACATTCGGTGCTTGTTCTACAGAATGCTATAGTACATCATTCTTTGTTGCAACACAGAGGGATTACTATAGTGTCTAGATGCTATTTGTGCTACAGAAACGTGGAATCTTTGGATCATATTTTTTGTAGTTGTGATTATACTTGGCAAGTATGGATGCAGTTTTCAGATATGTGTGGGTGGAGTTTACAAAGGGTGTATGAGGTCAAACAATTGGCAGTGCATTTTACACAAAGATTTCAAGGGAAAAATAATAAGTCGTCCCGGCAGGATCGTGGCTGCCAAAATGAGAAAACTAGGTGCCTTTGTGAATTCTTGCTCGGAAGAGACGGAGCTTTCTTACAGATTCAAGTCGTCCCGGCAGGATCGTGGCTGCCAAAATGAGAAAACTAGGTGGCACTTGGGGACTATTAGCGATATTGAGTTCTTTCTCAATCAGCACTGTTTACTATTATACAGTTCTAGAACTTTGTTTCTATTGAGTTATCAACTCTAGAAAACTGAAGACCATTCATTAGTCTGGGCTTGTAATCTAAAATTAATTGTGATTATAGCATTGTGATTGAATTGAGGGAGAGCCATGATGGTAAGATTGTTGCATTGTGATATGGAGGTCACGAATTCGAAATAAAGAAATATCCTCTCCGCATTGAGGAGGTAAGGTTGCCCTTTTTAGACCCCGTAATGACAGGAGTCTCGTGCACTGGGTTTGCCCATTGCCCTTTGTTGGGAAACGTGCAAGTTTTAAAAACTTTTCGAGAGATTTTGATTCATAGATCTTGATTCATCATATAGAGACAAGTTTTATGTAAAAATAAAAATATGATGTATCATTCAATTAATGGTTTGAATACTTACATCAAAGGTCTGAGTAAACCTTTAAATCTTTCCTCTAAAGTGAATGTTCTCACTTATTGTAGATCCCTTAGCAAGATGCCTTCTCCTTGGATCTCCATTTTCTTGGTAATTGTTTTGCCTTTAGGAATCACTCATAAGCCTCCATGAATGACCTTGGAAAATTAGGCTTGTGGGAGCCTCCATTAGATGAGAACATAAACCCTAATTTTCTAGAGAGAGAAAATAAATTCCTTTTTCCTTCTCCTAAAAATCACCCCTAAAATCTACATAGACCATGTATATTTATAGGCAACATAAAGGTAAAGAAAAGGAAACAACTAATCCTTCTCAATCTCTAATTCACATGTCTCAAATCTAATATGATTCCAATATCAAGTTGGGCTATGAATGAGAATCCATTGGGCCTATTATTTTATTGGCTACAATTAATTAATAATTGGCCCGGTCCATTGACCCAATTCAATTAATTCATAAATTAATTTCTACTCCACTAAAAGAAATTAATTGAACTCCAATTAAATAATAAATAACCTCTAAGTCAATATTGCACTTTGACCCCTCTATGCTTAATTAGTTATCGGATAAATAAAGCCATCAATCCGACTACTTAATTAATATATTTATTTTGGTACCTTTGATTATTTCTGACTCGATCACAATAAAACATTTGTTTGACAAAAATAATAATTTAAATAAATAAATATATAATAAATCATTTTGTCTAAAAACACACGAAGGCCTTCGAATTTACTTTGTGATCAACCATAATCAATACAAAATAAATACAGGTAGCAATGATGAAAATATTGAAACTATAACTCTCTAATTATTAATTACATAATTACCCAAAGTGTCGGTCTAAGAATCCCGAAGAATCTGCCGAACAAATCAAAGTAATTATTAATTAATAAAAGAGTCTATAATTTTCTCATGCTTAAGAGTCAAATGCCATGACGGTGATAGGGAGCAATTGCATACGACGGCTCTCGCAATATATCTCAACCTAACGCGGATCCAGTTCAAATCTTAATTAATTATGAGTCCATCTACAATTACCAACTATGAACCATTTATGATTACTATTTATATATCATGTATTGATTGCCATCACATACATATATATAAATATCTCTTGTAATCAAATGGACACTATCAATTCTATAATGAATCGAAATAAAATACATTGAATTCACCAATTGTATAAAACATAAATATTTCAGAAACGTCATGAACATATGTCACTTTAATCCAAACAGGAATTTGCTATGCCAGGGCATATAAATCCCAACAGCTCCCACTTGCCCTCATAGCCAATTCAAATTGCACCTAACTCCAATGTTATCCAGATGATGATCAAAATTATTGATCAATGACACATTTGATAATGGATCAACAAAGTTGTGTTCCAATGCAATGTTCTAGCTACAAGTACATTTTCTTGCCGGACAATATCATGTAGAACGTGATACTTCCTCTCAGTGTATCTTGTTTCTCTATAGAACCTTGGGTCATTGGTTTGGACTACTTTTGCACTATTGTCACAACATAGCTCAATAGGCAGGCTAGTATACTTCACAACCTCCAAATCAGTGAGATCAAACCAATAGGCTTCCTTTGCCGCCTTTAAGGCTGCAATGTATTCCACCTGCAGGTTTGAGTCAGCAGTTGAAATCTGTTTAACAATCTACCAACTGATTTCCCTTCCATTAAGTGAACATACACTAAGTCATGAACCTCATAGTATCTACTTCTGATTAAAAATCAGAATTAGCATACCTGACTAGGACCATATCATCACATCCATAAATGAGTATGATATTATTGGTTCTCCTTAGGTACTTAATGATATTTTTCACAGCAGACCACTTATTAAGTCCAGAATTGGACTGATATCTACTGACTATCCCTACTATGTAGCGGATGTCCTGTTTGGTATAGACCATGGCATATATGAGACTCCCATATGCCAAAGCATATAGTTCCAGTCTCATTTGCTCAATCTCCTCTGCTAGTCTTGGAAAACTACTTACTAGAGAGAGCAATCCATATTAATAAAGCAAGAACTCATTCTTTGAGTTATATATACCAAACATGGTCAAAACTTTATCAATGTAGGATTATTAAGATAAGCCTATTTTCCTTTTAATCCGATCTTGCAAAAGCTTGATCCTAGGAATATAGCTTACATCTTGAAAAATCCTTCATTTAAAAGTAATTGAACAACTACCTTTTTATTGATGACAAAACTGATAAGCGCTGAATATTGCATATTCAAGCGCCCTTAATTGAATTATTTAAGTCCATTATTTGATTTTATTATGTAGATTATCTTCATTTGTGCATTTTTGTTTATTTTCAGGTTCATTGGCTTAAAAGAAGCAAGAATGATGTTTTGTTGAAATTTTGAATGCAAAGGCACAATGCTGAAGCTTGGCAGCAGTGGAACCTGACTTTTGTCGCCATTTTTGACCTAGAAAACTCAAGAACTGGACTTCCATCATAACATTAAAGATTTAGAGCTCTGAATTATATTTCTAAATCTTCAAGTGGTTCGTCATTCGGAGTTCGGAGCAGAGAGTTATGATCTTCTTATCATAGGTGCTCAGAACTGCCTGGCAGCAATGAATTTCTGCCTTTCTCTTCAATTTCGACCAACCAAAATTGAGAATTGGACCTCCACCAAAATATAAATTTTTTAGAACTCTCAATTAGCTTTCCAAATCTTCAAACGGTTTGTCATTCGGAGCTCAGAGCAGAGAGTTATGGCCTTGTTACCAGAGGTGCGCAGAACTTCTTGGCAGCAATGAAATTCTGCCTTGATCTTCATTTTTGACCAACCATCCTTGAGAATTGGATCTTCACCAAAACATGAAGTATTTAAAGCTAGGAATTAGTTTTCCAAATCTTCAAACGGTTTATCATTCGGAGTTCGGAGCGCAAAGTTATGGCTGTTTAACCATAGTAGGTCTGGGCGGAGCAAGTGAAGCATGGAGCTTTTTACACTAAATTCGAGTGCTCGAGGCCTTGCTTTGAGTGC